GGGTTTAGGATTTAGGGATTAAGGGTTTAGGGTTTAGGGATTAAGGGTTTAGAGCTAAGTGCTGGGATCGAGACTCTTCAGTGGTGTTTTTCACCTTGAGGCCCACACTTTGAACATATACGCTGAAGCTATATCGTGGTTTCCCAAAATAGGGGGACCCCAATATAGACCCCAATATACTAGACTTCTCATAACGGGAGGACCCCCCCAAAATGGTACCCTAAACCCTAAACTCCTAAATTTGGGAAAGCCCAAACACCATAAACTCGAGCCTCAAGCTGAAACCAGCGACATGGTAAAGAGCGCCTCCTTGCAAAGAAGCCACAGTTTATAGGGGTTTTACAAGGTTATATGGGGTTATACAACGCAGCCTAGGTGGGTTTGGGGTTTAGGGTTGAGCTCTAAACCCTAAACCCTAAGCCCTGACCCTACACCCTAAACTTAGGATTTTGGATCTCCCTCTGCTTGTTCTGGACCCATTTATGTTTCGACCAGAGTTGCTTTGAGAGCCAATTTTTGAGTCACGGACTGAGGGCGGAGCATTTGCTTGGAGAGCCTAAATCCCTAAAACCTGAGCCCTGAGTTCTACAGTGTACAAACCCTCCTCTAAAATCCTGAACGCTATAAACTATCTCCGATGTGAAGGCTTCTCAACACTCGCACCACAAGAATCACTGGTAGGAACCCTACAATCCCTTCATAATCTTCAGGGGTTCTTGGGGCCCTTGGCTTTGAGAAGCCCCCAAACCCCAGACGCCTGTAAGCCCTTTAAAGGAACTTAATGCGCCCCTGTTGTGAGAAAGCCCAATTTGACACGGGTGCTTCGTGGCGCGCCAGCCCGGCCAACAGAAGGACATGCAGCGACCAAGCCAGCTGGAGTCCTGCCAGAATCCAGGCGATTTAGACACGCGCATCGCTCACAGCAGGCACGGCAGCAACTGTCCCGAACGGTCCGGCTAGCTGATACAGCCAGCAACACTGAGCTACTCAACTACTACCATTATGGTTAAGGGTTTGGATCTAGAAAGTACGTGTGCCCCTCGAGGACTGAAAGAAATCACCCAACGCGGTTCAAAGGTTACCCGGAGCTTCCAAAGTAATTATACAATTTGCATACTCCCCGAAACCCAGCTAACGGTCACTATCATAGGGACCCCAAAGTACTTTGTATACTGGACCTTGAGGCCTCAGGTTCGAGGCTCTGGCCCCAGAACTCCCTAGGAAGCACATGGGTGGTTGTCAAAATTATGATCTTTTTGGGTACCCTAAATATTAGGTGCCGTATTATAATAAGGATCCAAAAAGGGACCATAACTTTGACAGCCACCCACATGCGCCCAAACCCAGAGAGTAACCGAAAACTCTGGCACGTGATTTTGAGGTTTGGGGGCTCGCAGCGCGGCATTTAGAGTCCACGTGGCAGTCTTGGCTCATGGATTCTCATGGCTTTAGGACATACCGCTGGGCTTCAGGATTGAGGGTTTACGATCGGCCTAAGATTTCGGAGTCAGGGCGTAGGCGGACTTAAAGCACCCTCGCTAATGGTTTTCCTCCACTACGATTGTGGGTTATATAGGGGCTACTATAAGGATCCATTCCTTCGTCCCCAGCTAACCAAAGGCCAGGTTTAGGGTGTGGGGTTCAGTTTAGGATTCAGGGTCTAAGTCTAAGCATTTGTTCAGCCCTGCTGCCTGACACTTGGGGTTTCAGCAGGAGGCTTCCTGAGCGCGATTAACATGGAATCCTACCCTCCCTGGGACCAACATGCAAGCTTAAAAGCCCAGAAAAAGCCTGCGTTGTTTCCAGGGGTTGTCGGGGACCAAGATCCACAGCAAGACCAATCCAACATCCTCTCTACAGCTTAAAGCCTAATCCCTGCAATGAAGCCTGGAACCAATTCCTCAGCTGAGACGTCACCGTTTACCCCCAAGCATCCTCTGTGATGGTCATCTTCACGGCAAGCTGCATGTCCTTGGGCCAAGGTGATGCACAACAGCAGTCTGTGGCCAGGGCTTATTTAGATTACTGTTGAGGCTGGCAATCTTCAAGCCCTGGCAGAGCTTCGGACTTAGGGTTTGGGTTACGAAGCTTAGCCCTCAACTTTCGACACGTCTCGGCTTTTCCTTCGCCGCCCAGGATAGCTGTGCTCTTTCCAATGTTGTATCCTGCTTGGGATGCAATATCCCTCCAAAAGAGATTGGGGTCCGTGGCCTCTGAGACAAATTCGGGGCTAAACAAAATCAACTTACAGGTTGTTAGTGGGGAATAAGGGAATGTATATACATAAACATATATATTCATATGTATATGTATGTATATATATACATACACATATGGATGGACAGATAAATATTATATATATATCTCTCTCTCTATGGAGAGTATACAACGATTATATTCACGTATTCCCTACTAGCAACCAGTGAGTCGCTAGGGCAGGAGCAGAGGGCTCGGTAGCTCAGGCCCGCCAATCAAACGCAAATAAGCGCCCCCAAACCATATCAGCGGTGGCTTGTTTTTTTTGTTTAACCCCTCGGACTTTTGATGTCTGCACGGAGTGCAAGGGGTGGTGGGTTTAGGGTTTAAGGTTCAGGGCTTAGGGTTTATAGGGTTTAGGGCTGAATAAACTTCGCACCAGCCCGTAACTTTCAAGACCCCATTTGGGGGGTGAGGGGCCGTAGAGGTATATATGGACAACAAAGCGCCTATGGCTGTCCTTCCTTGAAGTTCCACAAACCCTAAACCCTAAACCCTAATCGTGGGAAGCTCCCATCTTCCTACACACAAAAACTGGGCTCAAGAGACACTCCTGTCATACGGTCAATGAGTTAGGTTTAGGGATTACTGGCATTTGGTTAGCTGGGGATGGATGCCTGGAAACAAAACGGAAACTACCATGATGGGTTATATAGGGACTACTATAAGGATCCATTCCTTCATTCCCAGCTAACCGAAGGCCAGTTTAGGGCTTGGATTTTTAGGGTTGTGGATCACAGCCGGCAATCCTCAACGGACCTGGCGGTGTTTTCGAAAGTACGCTCCCACCTAGACCCTGAAAGTAATGTAGTAGTTTCGATATTCTTTTGCATTCCCCATACACAAACCCTACACAGCCCTTATATGAGCGTATACTACCCTATAGATCCTGATTCAAGCTTTGTGTAGGCCCTTTTGTAGGAAAAGCCCAAAGGATGAATACCTGTGGAAAACCTTACGAACTCCAACACCTGAAACATACGCAGGTAGTTTCCAAATTAGGGTCCCATTATGGTACCCCTAAATATTAGGTGCCATAGTGTAAGCTATAGCCACAGGGGCCAGGAGGCCAAAAAAATTGAGAACGACCCACTCTAGAAATGTCCTAGGTATCGACAGAAAGCATACACACACATAAATGCAGATGCTTTTCAAGCTCCTGTCCTCTAAACCCTACAGAAGCTCAGGAAGCGTTTGATAAACCCACATCCCGATTTCTGCGAATGAGCAGGAGTACATGTCCCTATATTACATATCATACCTGGACCCCTATACATCACCGTAAACCCTGAACCCTAAAGCCTATATATGTTCTGCTTCTAGCAGTTGGGGACCCCGACGCTCCCTTTCTGGCATCCCGAAAAGCATCCACATTTCAGAGAAACTCAACGGACACAAGCTGGGTTTCCGTGGGTTTTATGGCTTTAGGGTTTTAGGGTTTAGGGTTCGGACTTCCCTCACATCATGTGCATTTGGTCCCTCCTTTGAACGGACCATTTTTGCAAAAACGTAATCCTGTACCTCTAAACCCGTAGCCCACCTAAACCCCTCCCTCCTGGAGAAAGCGTCTTAACAAATGGGTAGCATCTGGAAATAGGGGAAACCCTAATCTAGATCCCACACTACTATATCCTTGCTTCCCCAAACAAGACCCCTAATTTTCTGAACCCTAAACCCTAAACCCAAGTGATATACGGGCCCAGGGGACGGCTCCCCAGTTCTCCACATAGTCATGCACCGTCCAGTCCTGAGTCTCTTAGGGTTTGGGGTTTACTCATTAGTCGGTTAGAGTTTGGGGGTGCTAAAAGGTTAAGGGTTCAAAGAGATTACACAGTGTTCGAGTCTCAAATTTTGGGCGGGGTGTTGTATCCTGCCTTGTGGCCCTATACAGGTTCCATGTATTTTTAGCTTCAGAATTTAGGTCCTTTGTGGTACCCATTGCTGGGTGGGGGAGTGACCCGAATCATTGGAACTGGCACAGTTGTAAGAAGTCTGCAAAGGTCCACTGCCCGCATCTCACCCATGCATCTGCGCAACTGGAAACCCATAGTCTGATTTAGGGTTTGGAGTTTCGGGGTGATATGGGGGACAAATAGAGGTTAGGTCTATAAGGGATGCATAGGCCATGGGCATTGTAAAGGTTTTAGGGATGTTTAGAACCTATGATATTCGCAATCTGGCAGCCTGGGGCATTTTCTTCCAGGTCTTGTAGGGCTCACAGGGGCCATGATCTGCACCGTGGTGGAGGCGGTTTTGCTTCTGGGCTTGAGGGTTAAGGGCCCACTTCGCCTCGTACACCATGTTGGCTTGAGTTTGGGGGTTTGGAGTGTGGTATCTACTTAAGGCCTCATTGTTTGGTGTTAGGATTTTGGAGGTTTGTGGCTCGCAGGTTTAATGTTGCGAGGTTTTGGGGATCCGGTTGGGAACCTTATGCTAAAGCTAGATGCATCACACAGGCTGGTGGTTCCTTTCTCTGATACCCTGCTACCTGCATAAAATCCCCTGTGGGCGTTAGTAAGGATAGGGGGCCCTCATATGAACCCCGGGTACTATAAACCTGGTTATTGGGAAGGGGCTCCTCCTGATTTTGGAACCTGCCGCATGAAGAACACACCCCTTATCAAGGGACGGCAAGCATTTGGAAAATGAAATGGAAACTGCACCTCTGCAGGGGTCATAGAGGGATTTCAGGAACTCAAATTAAGTTCAGCTATTAGGAGACCAGAGTATTTACTCTGTATCCGGATTCTGGCGAATTCGCCCTAAACCTATAGAACCCCAACAGTACGTGACTTCTTCAAATGGAGCCCGGTAGGGCGACCCTACAACAACCTACGCTAAACTTAAAAACCCTAAACCACCATATAACCTTGTTGTACGTCCCTAACGGCCCAGTTTACCCCAAACCTGAAATCCCTCTACCTAAGCCCAAAACCCCAAAAGCCTGAACCCTAAAGTAACAGCTTCCATCTTCTTTTCCTAGAAAATAGTAGTAGTAATACTATTCACCCCTTAACCTTTAAGCCCTAAACCTAAACACTGTTCCCTATGCCAGGAGTCAATGTTCGGCTGGCAGCAACAGCAACGGCAGCATTGCGAGGTCTTCTGGTAAATCATCATGCCTTTGCTTAGGGTTTAGGGTCTAGGGTTTAGGGCTCAGGGCGAGATGCTATTAAGTAGCTTAAGGCTGGTATTTGTTGCTTACCGGCAACTCAATTGAGTCTTAAGTAGACCCTTCCCGTTGACTGGTTTGGGGGCATACCTTTTGGGAGCGCGTCTTCCTAGGAACTGCTATATCAGCACAATATTTGCATGTGGAGCATAGGAGCAGGGAGCCCAAGAACGGACCAGGACACGCCAACTCAACAAAATGCTGGTTGTTTGGGGTGTTTCTTGTTGAGTTAGGGCATGCAGACAGCTGTAGTTCGTCTCAGAAGCTCTAAACCTCTGACCGCAACGCAAGGATTCCACCAATTGCGATAATAGCTTTACACTAGCAATGTTGCTCCACATCATGGCGAGGCTTCAGGTAATCCCGGTAATCCCCTCATGCTGTCCAGATGCCGTCAACTTGTCCAGGAGCCTGAAGCATGGTCGGGGCACCAATCCTTGCGTGCAGGGTCCTAAACCACGCCTACCCTAAACCACGAACCTTGAGCCCTATGCTATGAAGTCAGGAGCCAGAAAGCATGAACTGTTGGACAAAGGGACGGCCGGTGGGTGGCAGGCTTCATTGCCGCGCGGTAGCAATATGGTGGTGCAGTTCGGTGGCGGCTGCGCGGTGGCCTTGCTGATACCCTGTGCCCGTGACGGTGCCGGTGCCAGTGCCGGTGCCGGTACCACACACGGTGGTGGGCGTAGTTGTGGTCGTGTTCGGGTCGCGGTCGCGGCGGCAGTGGTCAGTAGCAGGACCTAGACCTAGTAGGATAAGAAAACTACGGGAGCAGCGACAGCAGCAAACGGTATGACACCCAACAACGAAAAGCTTACCAAATGGGCTCCAAAGAATCACAGTCGCCTCCACCACGTTGTCGCCCATCCTGCCTTGCTACCGGGCGTTCTGTTCGGAGAGACCGTAGCTTTGCAGCTTGCGCTTGAGCCTGGAAACTAATGCCATGCATAATCATAGGGATCCTCATTAGGAAATGCCTTCCATTAATGACAGTGTTGCTGTTAAGAAACTTACTTTAAACTATCATAGTTTGGGGGGGTATAGTAATCCCAGGGTTTCCTTACTATAGCGACTGAATTTAGATTCCTTAACTGCAACCCAGTAAATAATGATCGTCATGCAGATCTTCCTGACTCGGTTCCTGAAGAAGGCTGCGCGCCATGTAGCCGTAATTCCTTTTTAGGGGTTAGACTAGGGACTGTACTTAACTACATAATTTAAAGGTCTAGGCCGTAGGGTTTAGGAAAATTCCTACATCATTGAATGGACATGGGTTCCTGTTTAGGAACTGTATTCATGGACCTTACTGACACTACAAGAGGGACCCCTGACCACTTTTAAGAGGTCCTTAGTAAGGCTAATATTGACAGAAGCTCATGTAGCCGCAATTGCCACATTACCCAGGAGCAAACACAAATTGCATGGCCCTGGCTGATGGCAAGCATTCCGGACCCCATGTCCCAAGAGCTGGCAATTCATAGCCGCCCTCGCAAGGAACCGAGGCGTCGGCAACTCTGACCTACTAAACCCTGAAACCAGTGCCTTCAGGCCTAAAGCCTAGAGCCACAAACCCTAAACACCTGATCTGCATGCTTCGAAAACGACCAGGCATGAATCCGGGCTTCTTGAGGAATGAGCTGAAGATGGGCCTCTGGATTACACCATAAGTGTCAAAGGCACCTCAGGAAAGCTGCAACCAAGGCATGAAGGCCGTTGTTCAGGGCTGCCATACCATGTGCTTCTTCGCACACTGTTGGCAGCTTTCAGTTTTCAACTGAAGGCCCCTCTCCCTTCTGCAGGTCATATCCAGAGGCTGGACAAGCACCTTGCAACTAATGTAGAAGCCTAGACTGGGCCTAAACGCTAAGGATTGGGACTTCAAGTATAGTGGACTATATTATATGAGGAGCAAAGGAAAGTGCTGATAATTCTTCAGGCTTCTGCATCATCCGTGTGCACAGCTGCAGCAACCAAGCCTTTGATGTAATGGCCAAGCGGCAAACATGCGTGGCGACGTACAAGCGGTTTAGGGCATTTCCTCCCTTGCCTAGCTCACCAGCCTAGCAGCTTATTCCAGCATATATGGAAGTGGGGAACCAACACCAACATTGCAGTATCAAACCAAGACAAACAGAATGCAGAGTAGATGCCACTCAGCTGTGTAGTTCAATATGTATTTTTCCCGGCTTCAGCCAGAATTTCAGAAATCCGAAAATGATAAGGCCAAAGGTCCGAGCACGGCTGCATCCACCGGGACGATCCGGTAGCCAAGAACGTCAAATCCCTCCTTCAAGGATTCTGTAGCCCGTAAGACCTTGAGGGTATGTTATACTGCAAGTTATACTGGAACAGTAGAACACTGAGAAGGGATCATCTTCCTAATTACTTAGGCTTCTACATGACAACTGAAAAACACTCGGGTTTATGGCTCAATGTCCAGGGTCCCAGGAGTTTCAAACGAAATTTCCACTCCGGAGGCCTGTTGCTACCCCAGACTAGTATAGTCCCCCTTAAGTAGATAGAATATAGGGTATACTATTGGGGGTGTATAGGGACAATGGAAAAGAAAATGGAGACTACTATATTATAATCGGCTATATATTGGGGTTATATAAGGATAATGGAGAAGAAAATGGAAACTACTATATTATAGTAGGGTATATATTGGTGTTATAGTCCCCCTTAAGTAGATAGAATATGCGGTATATGGGGCGTTTATTCTAACATACCCAAACCCATATTCGATCTACCTGAAGGGAACCAAAATGATAAGCGATTTTAGCATGCCACAGCACTTGATTTCCTGCCTGGCCCCAAGCTTTACATACCACTATAGAATCCCGGTCTCCCCGTCATGCTCGGTTTTCTCTTCCGTTCGACACATTTCCTAATCAATTGTGAACCCTTTGAAGTACAACGGTCTTGTCTATTCAAGGCCTATCTTGAACTCTAAACCCTTAACCCCAAATCCTAAAGCCCAAACCCTAAAACCCAAACCCTCAACCCTAAACCGGTTTTCAGCCCAGACTCTGCTCATGGTAAGCTTGGAACTGCCGCAGGCACGCACTAAGCACGCCCGGCAAATCGGACTACCCACCCCTCATCCACAGCTGCGTAACTAACACGAAGCAAGCTGAAACTGTCGCCCGGCCTCAAGCTGCCAAGTCTGAACACTGCTATGGTGGATGCAGAATTATTCAGGGTGACCTACCCGATCATAATTCAGTGTGTTCAAGAATCCCGCAAAGAGTTGCAGACAACAAACCTCTAAACCCTAAACCCTTCGTACCCTTCCGTACTATGCAGCCACGCAAGCCGCTACACGCCAGCCCAGAATCAAAATGACCCAAAACCCTTAAACCCCTAAACACCTAAAACCCTAGACCGCCATAAGCCCTTTGCTCTGTCCACTCTGTGTCACGAGGCCGTGGGGGTACGGGGCACAGCTCCAAAAATTATGGGTTGAGGGGTTTATTGTTTGGGGCTCAGGGTTTAGGGTTTATGGTTCCATATATCGCCATATGTAGGGGTAGTGATATAGGGGGTATATAGGGATAATATCTGGTTCAATCAGCGTTCATACGGGGGCGTTGGTACTAAAACTCCTGCATGACCTTACTATACCCTAGTTATGATACCTAAGCAAAGTACAGATCAAGTTTTCCCTGTTGACCACATTATGCAGACATTCCTGCATGAGCGAGTTCTCCAACTTCATCTTCGCATCGATTCGAACATCAGAGGCCTCATATTGACTGACGACAAACGTCTTAGTTTTGCATGCACATTGGTTGGCGGGCGTACTGATTTGGTGTACCAGGGAACCTTAAGCAGCTTTTGGGGGATATTCCGGGGAAATTAGGAAGTGTTGGGGATTTCTAGGTTACCCACCCCATGTATGGATATGTACCAAAATATTTTGGATTCCTTCTACGGAATGGCAACATAGCTCAAGTTAATTGACAGCAGCCCAGTCTTTGTATGACTGAAAATGCATGTGCAGAGGGTGAGAAAGCCTGCACCTGAAGGAGCACAAAAAGCGAACCATGACGGCTGCATCAAGCAAGGGAGAGGCACCAATCCCCTTGTAGTAGTATGACTTCCAATGTTCAGAATATCTGTTGTCAAAGGGCAGGGGGTATCAATTACCCGCTTCAGTGCAAGACAACTACTCCGTCTAAGGTCCTAACCACGGGCCCCTACCTGTTTCCTGGGTCTCATCGGAATTCTAGGAGTTCATAGGGTATATACTCGGTATAAACCCCAGGATAGCTCATACCATACTTTGGACCTTAGACAGTGCCTGATCTTGCAGGTTTATGGCACTAAGCTTTCACTCATCCAAGAAAAGAGCATGCATTTCTGGGAGGTCCTGCTGCTTTCCTTGGATCAATGCGTTTCCAATGAAGAAAGTATCACGTTCACAGGCTCCGATCACAGCTGTGAATCCCATTCAGAAGAAGCTTGCGTGTTCCTGATCTGCGTACTTGAGGCGCACTCAAAAGATTCTATGGATGCCCCGTAACATAGCCATAGAGTTACTAAATGGAAGTAGGTAATTTTGAGGGTTGTTGTCTTGAGCCGCTATTTGGTGGCGGCCTGGGTGAAGTCATCATAACTTGCTCCGAAGTAATGCGGAAATGGGTGCTAAGAGGACCCACTGTACCCCTGAACCCATGCTCTACATCCTAAACCTTAAACCCCAAACCCGCTCGACCGTGAATTTTTGAATCTTAAGCACAAGCCCTTTGGGAGAGCTCTTTGTTCAGGATTGACACGGGATTTCTCAAAGGGTTGTGAGATCCAGAATTTAATTCCCCGAAGCCCAAACGCCCCGCAAATCAACCCTGCAAGCCCAAACCCTTTGTTTTTCCCCAAACTTACATGGAACCTGCAAAAAGGCCCTTTGATGAATACTGTCCTGCAAAGGGGCCTAGGTGAGGATCCATCTTAGTGTTGGGGGGGTAACGTGCCAAAAGCGAAAGAAACACTTTGATCCTCCATGGCTACCAGGGAATTTAATTACCAACCCGAAAGGAGGGCGTTGCGGCTATCAGCTATCATATTTGGGTCTATCAGGGTCCTTGTTTGGGTGTTGGGGTAATTGGTTTCCCTTATTACCATGGTGCCTTTGAAAGGAAAAGCATGCCCACCGCGCAGGTGCTGGTGTCTTCGGGCAGGTTAACATCGCACGAGAAGAGCTCCCACCTTGATAAAAATGCTGCTTGACAGGGCCAACGGAGGATATGCGTCTTTCTCATCTCAACATAGGGTTCTCGTTATAGACCTACGCTAACGGCAAGAACAAAAAACATGTCTGTTTTATGGCGACAAGATAAATCCGATACAAATCTGCTAGAATCCATGCACACGCTTTTTCAGTTTCAAGGCTTTGTAGCTTTATAACCCCTGATCTTGGGGCCTTCATATGCCTAGTAACCTCGTATGTACCTTATTCAAATCGTTTCGAATCCTAACACGGTCAAACGCCCATAGATAAGACCTGAGAAACAGATGTAATGGTCCATATCCATGACCCGTGGTTACGACCTTGGATTCGTAAGCTTCACAAGATTAGGAGGCTCGAGAGGCCCAGGGCCAAGGTGTGAGTGTGAAGGGCCTCAAAGCTTGCATTTGCATGGCAGAAACTGGCTGAAATGAGGTGAACCATGCAGGGTTTAGGCTTGGGGGGAGATGGGCTTTGTAGCTGGAAATGGTTGGGCCATTTTCTGATGCTTTTTCGGCCCCTACGCCGGGCTCCGAAAGTGAAACCGGTTTGAAAAAAGCAAATTTTGAAGGCTTGCCGCAACACAATATGAGTAATGGCAAGCCTTGCATGGGGTTATGCAAAAGTGCCAAGTGCCACC